GCCCACAGTGCCTCATGGATGCCCAGTCTTGAGTTGCTAAATCTGTTGAAAGTCTATCCCATTTAGCACAGTGATAGTGCCACACAACATGATGCAGCTTATTCTCAATGTGACGGCAGGACTTCGTCTCCACAACAACTATGCACTGGTTGTTCTTCCCGATACTGTAATAAGTGGAGGCATCTGCAGCTGGCAGATTAGTAAGGATGAGGTCATGTACGTTTTTCCCTATTGTTGGTTCCCTCACCACCTGCCGCAGACCCAGTCTAGCAGCTATGTCCTTTAGGACCTGACCAGCTCGATCAACAGTATTGCTGCCGAGCCACTCTTGGTGGTGGACATTGAAATCCCCCACCCAGAGGACATTTTGTGCCCTTGCCATCCTCAGTGCTTCCTCCAAATGTTGTTCAACATGGAGGAGTACTGATTCATCAGCAGGAAGTTTCCTTGCCCGTGTTTAACCTGAAGCCATGAGACTTCATGGGGTCCGGAGTCAATGCTGAGGACTCCCAGTGCAACTCCCTCCTGACTGTATCCCACTGTGCCCCCACCTCTGCTGCGTCTGTCCTGCCGATGGGACAGGACATATCCAGAGATGGTGATGGTGGTGTTTGGGACATGGTCTGTAAGGAATGATTCCGTGAGCATGACTATGTCAGGCTATTGTTTAACTAGTCTGTCAAACAGTTCTCCCAGTTTTGGCACTAACCCCGAGATGTTAGTGAGGGGGACTTTGCAGGGTCGACAGGCTGTTTCTGCCGTTGTCTTTTCCAGTGCCTAGGTCGATGCCAAGTGATCTGTCCCGTTCCATTTCTTTGAGACTTTGTAGCGATTGGTACAACTGAATGGCTCGCTAGGCCATTTCAGACGGCAACCACAGTCAACCACATTGCTTGGAGGGGAACTTTCAGGTGCTGGTGTTCCCAGGTATCTGCTGCCCTTGTCCTTGTAGGTGCTGTCTAAGGAGCCTTGGAGAATTTCTGCAAGGCATCTTGCAGATGGTACACACTGCTGAAACTGATGAAGGGAATGAATGATTGTGGATATGGTGCAAGTCAAGCAGGCAGCTTTGTCCTGGATGGTGGTGAGAGTGTTGGAGCTGCACTCATTCAGACAAGTGGGAAGTATTCCATCACACTCCTGACAAGTGTCTTGTAGATGGTGAAACAAAAATAGAAATTGCAAGAAAACCTCAGCAGGTCTGGCAGCATCTGTGGAGAGAAATCAGAGTTAACGTTTCAGCTCGAGTGACCAGGGTTTTGAAGGAGGATTACTGGCACTGAGCTTTTCCAGCAATTTCTATTTTTGTTTCTGATTAACAGCAACTGTTGTTCTTTTGGTTATTATCTTGTCAGTAGTAGGTGGGTTTTGGGGAGTCAGGAGTTGAGTTACTTGCTGCAGTATTCCAAGCCTCTAATCTCCTCTTGCAGTCACACAGTATTTATATAGCAAAGCATGTTCACATTTTGGTCAACAGTAACTCCTCGAATGAATCCCAGGGTTCAGTAATGGTAATACCATTGAATGTCAGGGTGCGATGATTAGATTCTCTCTTACAGGTGGTGGTCATTGCCTGGCATTTGTATGGTGCAATATTGTCCATTGCTTGATGCTTTTGGGCATGGACTGCTTCAGTATCTGAAGAGTTGTGAATGGTGCTGAATGTTATGCAGTCATCAGCAATATTCCTCACTTCTAACCTTATTGACGAAACAACTTTCAGATATTCGGGCCTCGGACACCACCCTATTGCAGTTACATGCTAGGGCTGAGATGGCTTTCTTTCACAACCAGCACCATAAAATCATAAGACACAGGGGCATAAGTTGGACATTCAGCATATTGAGGCTGCTCCACCATTCAATGAGATCATGGCTGACCTAATAATCCACTTTCCTGCCTTTCTCCCATTATACCTTAATTATTAAAAATCTGACTACCTCAGCCTTGACCTAACAACCCAGCCAACAACCCAGCCTTGAGAGCCTTCCGTGGTAAAAAAATTTCTACAGCATTCACTACCTTCCGAGAGAAAAAAGTTGTCCTTAAATGTGTGACCCCTTATTCTGAGATTACGCCTGTTGTATCTACACTGTCCCAGAAACTGTAACAACCTTTCTGCAACTATCCTGTCAGGCTCAGTAAGAATCTTGTATATTTCAATAAGGTTACCTCTCATTCTTTTAAATTCAAATGAGTACTGATCCAACTTATTCAACCTCTCCTTATGTGATAGTCCCTCCATACCTGGTATCTATCTAATGAACTTTCTCTGGACTGCCTCCAATGCCAGAATATTTTCCCTTAGAAAAGGGGCCCAAAACTATTCACAGTATTCCAGCAGTGGTCTGACTAGTGTCTTGTATAGTTTTAGCAAAACCCTTCTTACTTTTATACTCCATATCCTCTGAAACAAAGGCGAAAATTCAATTTGTTTTCCCTATTATCTGCTGATGCTAGTTTTGTGTGATTCATGCACAAGGACTCCCAAATCTGCAGTCTTTCTTCATTTAAATAATATTCAACTGCTTTACTCTTCCTGCCAAAGTGCACCATCTTCCTTCATGTTAGATATGACTCCAATCATTAGAGAATTAATCCCCAATACAGTAGTTCAATTCTACTAGGGCTTTTCGATGCAACACTCAGCCTTTTGCTGCCTTGATGTCAAGAGCAGCCACTCTAACTTATCGCTGGAATTCAGCTCTTTTGTCCATGTTTCAATCAAGGTCTTGATGAGATCTGAAGCCAAGGTGCCACAGAGGAACCAGAAATGAACACTGATTCGCAGGTTATTAATGTATACGTGCCACTTTATAGTACTGTCGATGACACTCTCCATTATTTTGCTGAAGATTGAGAGTTGACTGGTATGTCATTCATGAGCCGAGTTTGGTTGTCCTGGGGACAGGATATATTTGGGCAGTTATCCACATTGCAGGGTAGATATCAGTGTTGTAGCTGTACATGAATGAATCTGACTAAGGATTCGTCCAGTTCTGGAGCACAAATTTTCAGTGCTATAGCTGGGTTGTCAGGGCCCATAATCTTTGCAGTATCCAGTGCCTTCAGCTGTTTCTGCATATCACTTGGAGTGAATCAAATTGTCTGAAATTGATATCTAACATGGTAGGGCCCTTAGTAAGCACCATGATGGAGAATTCATTTAGCACTTCTAGCCAAAGATGTTTGTAAATTCTTCAGCCTTGAACCTTGTACTGATGTGTTAGGTTCCCTATACCTTGAAGAATGTGATATTTGTGAAACCCCCTCTGCTGATTAATTGTTTGACTGTTCACCATTCAGAACTGGGTGTGTCAAGACTGCAGAGCTTTGATCTCTTCTGTCAGGAGTGGGATCACTTAGGTCTGTGTACAACTTGCTGCTTCCGCACAATTACAAATAACTTCTTCCTTAAAAAAATGGAGTGAATCAGCTTGAAGCAGCCAAGCGTATTACTAAAGAGGGCCTGAGTTAATGAGTTGCTTTCAGAGTGAAGTTAACATATCCTTTCTTCAATATGACCCATGGCCTGAGTGATGCAAAGTTGCTTCGAGTTGCTTTACAGGCTTAAGAACAGCCTCTCTTGGGTCACGCAAGAATGCTCTAAAAGCTTTACTGATTTTATGGGTTGTTCAGCATAAATCGAGCAGCTTAAGTGCAGCAATGGCAAAAATTCCAAGTATTTGGAGTTCAGTCCTCACAATGTCGTTTTGTGGAATCCACATCGCATGGACAAAATTCCCTTTTAGGCATATGCATGACGTAGAACCTGAAGTATTCTGACCCTGGGAAATCTGGTTAATAGTCACTTACACTTCATCAGTAAAAGGATGTAACAGTGTTTCTGGTTACCCAGATTTCCTCCCAGTTCAGTTACTTAGTGAGTGACAGAAATTGTAGCATAGTTAAACCAATAGTTTTCTGAACATCCAGAATTTTCTCTATCAGCCCCCTATTAAATTTCAGTGCTGTCCGTCTCTATTGAACTCTGATTTTCAGTGTACTGGAACTAAATCGGAATTATTTATCTTCTCTCACTTGAGCTGTTAAGAGAACTGAGCCATTCTGACAAACCATAACAGCTTTGTTTTTCTTTAATCAGTGTTCCCTGTCTTCTCTTCAGATCCCTCAACATGCAACAACTTATCTCTTAGCACCTCAACTGTATGAACAGCTTTCCCTGTTTTCACACATCCACTGAAGACCTGTTGAGTCTGAATTTGCTTCTAGAAACTTTGTCTTAATGCTATTATCTGTTTTCATGTTCTGGACTCTGAAGACCCCTCTGCACTCAAATCCCATCAAATATTCACAGGCAGGTAAAGCACGGGGTTAAATACAGACAAAACTCCCTCTGCACTGTCCTATCAAAATCTCCCAGCGCAGGTACAGCACAGGGTTAGTATCAAAGCTAAGCTCCCTCTGCACTGTCATATTAAACATTTCCAAGTCAGGAATGGCATCAGTTTGAAGCATATAAATGCTTCTACACTGTGCCACCAAACACTCCCAATACAGGCAAAGCACCAGATAAGTTCAGAATTAAGCTCTCTTTACACTCTTTATATCAAACAATCTCAATTCATGTCACATTCAGGATGAATCTTACCTACCTCTTTAACCTACCTTAACCACAACCTGAGAAAAGCACCCTCTATTGGTTCAGAGTGACATTTTCTTTATTTGTGACAAGATTGTTGTGTCTCAATCAAATTACTAACCTGCGCTGAATTTTGGCCAGTTGTATAAACTATGAACTTTGAATCAAAGACAACTGGAATGAAACTTCCTGACACATCAAACAATGGCTCCTTCCAGGAAGCTCCTTCTCAAGGGCAATCAAGTGTGGGCACAAAATACAGTCCTAGCCAGAGTCATTTATCCCATGAATGAATACAAGCAAATAGTTGAGAAATTGGACTGAAATTATGCTGAAGTCATAAAAGTACAAACCAGTGATTTTTTTCTTAAACACACAGAAAAATATTCCTTCTCACCTGAAGACCCCCGACCACTTCTTGAGCAGAATTTCACTGTACTGATCTCTGATTTCGAGTAGCATGTCGAAATACTGATTTACTGGAAATCCATAACCCTGTAAAAGTAATGCAAGTGCTTCAAACAGCAGCACTCTGTATAGCAAAGAGCCAGGGTAAACAGGTTTTAAAATCCTTCACTGGGCTGAATAATTACTCAGGCTTGAGGCTGAGCACACGTTAGCATAGGTTTTGGCAGACCATCCCTGAGCAAACAGGAAGTGTCCCACTGACTGCACATCCATGCATCTTTCGTCCAGTGAGGTGCTCAGGTTAACAGGATATAAAATAAAGAAATGCAGATAATGTCTTCATGATTGAAGAAACAATCAATTCACTGGTACTGGCAACATCTTAAACATTAACTTGCCAATCTATGGAAAAAGGCTCATTGATAGAAAGTACTCCCAGCTCTAAGTCAGAAAACTTCTTTACTGTAACCCGTTCTTTCTAGTACTATAGTTGGTGTCCACTGAACTTTCCTCCTTAGACCATCCGAGATCATCCAACCCAATCTTCCTTCTCCCAAGTTCACCAAGGGTCATTGTACCACTATATTATTTCCATCATCCACTTTCTCCGCTGTGTGTGTTTGCACCCTGAGCAGGAGCAGGAAAACTGGGGAGCAGCAGTCCCTCAAAATCAAAATACACTATGAAGTTTTGGGAAGGTATGATGAATCAAGATTTGTGCGATTTTAAGTGGAAATTTGCAACACATTGCTTCATTAGGTTAATACCTCAACTGATACAAAAATGAGCAATTAAATCTTAACATGTTTTATCCTAAGTAGACTAAGTGCACCAAATAAATGAGTTACATTCTGTTTAGTTACATAGGTTCTGCAGTTTATAGTGACGTGTTGAGATTGCATTCTTCTGTACTATCTGGTTTTCTGTAAACAGCAAGGAACAGTAATCATGTACAATGTCTGCATCCAGTTTTTCAAAGGGAACCAAAAAGCGGGGATTGTTGGACTTGTTAGGAGGAATTCAGTCAAATGGTTCAATACTCTACGCAGTTTAGAAGAACGAGTGGCGATCTCGCTTAAATATCTACAGGTTTTACAGGGTTTCACAGGGTTGATGCTGAGAGGCTGTTTCTCCCTGCTGGAGAATCAGGACAGTCACAATCTCAGGATTAATGATCTGACTCCTTATGGCAGAAATCAGGATACATTTCTTGACTCATTGGGTAGTTTCACTGTAAATATTCAGCAAATATACAATAACTCCTCGCTTAATATTCTAGTTGCACTCTTTATAAATGTAATTCAACTTTGAAAGGAAGCGCTTTAAGCAAATCAGATTTACCCATAAGAGTTAATAAGTAAACTGGAGTTAGCTTCCCCAACAGGTCTCTTCTTGGTCTCCAGCTCATCTCGCCCTGGTCTTCTAACTGAACGTTTTGGGCATTTAGAGCAAACTGGTGAGAGGGGTAAAAGTAGATCAGGAGCAGGGGCAACAAGCTGGGAAGAAGCAGGTCAGGAATGATACGAAAGCAGGTCTGGCTCTTTGATCTGGTCATCCAAGGGGTTCGAAGTATCATAAGAATAAAAAATGGTTAGCACTTTTACCTCACAGCACCAGGAATCTGGGTTCAATTCCAGCCTTGGGTGACTGCCTGTGGGGAGTTTGAACATTATCGCTGTGTCTACGTGGGTTTCTGCCAGGTTCTCTGGTTTCCTCCCACAGTCCAAAAATGAGCAGGTTAGGTGGATTAGCACGGGAGGTTATGGGGATAGAGCGGGGGAGCTGGATCTGGGTGAGATGCTCTTCGGAAGGTCAAAGCAGATACTTTTATGCACTGTAGGAATTCTATATCTCAAAGGGATATATCTTCACTATTACATGGTGACATCCTAACAATTAATAACTTTGAAGAGAGCAATGTTAAGCGAGTTATTGCTGTATTCAAGAATAACATCAATAAACCTTTGGACAATACTAAAATCAGGGTATTTGGGGATAGATTGCCTATGTGAAAGTGAAGTAGAAGATCAACTAATAAACTTATTAAATGTCACAATAGGCTCAAGGGGCTGTATGGCCTACTGCTCTCCTATTTCTTATGTCTTTACCAAGAAAGAATAAGGTCATTTTCATGAAGTGTTGATTAAATTCCCTTGTGGAATGTATTGATATATCTGCTACTGAACTTGGAGGGAGTGTGCTGGTGTCTTCAGTGGTCAGGAGTAATATTCTGGAGCTTTAAGTGAGTGAACAAACCCCAGGATAAGGCACAGCATGCAAGTACGGTGGAAGAAGATTGAATTTTAGAATTGGAGCACATGTGGCTGAAAAAATATATGAGGCATGGAATGATATTGCTTTCTGAAGTGCATGTTCTATTTTCATTTTCGACCCATATGTTCTTACATATGCACTCAAGCTTCTTATCTACTAATCATTAGCTTACATACAAAACTGTTTCAAATTCCAACTGTGGAAATGTTTACCTGGAGAGTGTCCGCAAAGAGTACTAGAAGGTTCTTCAAATCCAAGACCAAGTTTGGGTCAGAGCAATATGACTGAATGTGAGGAAGGAAAAAAAGAGATATTTGTAGCCAGACAACTTCAAAATGCTATACAACATATCTGACTTCGTGAGTCACTTGTTATTATTTCACTCTTTCATCTGAAAGATGGTACCTCTACCAGCTCTTTTGTCCTACTGAACTAGAAGTGTCAGGCTAGAAATGACGGAGGTTATTAATTAGGAGTAGTAGGACTGTGATACTACTTGGCTATATATTGTATCATAGACAATTACAATTAACACTGAATAGATAGTGCTTTTAAGGTGATCACAATGGTGCGATGGATCTAATGGCCTCCTTCTGTGCTGTACAAAGTGACAGCAGAAAGTGACCTGAAACAAACAAGATATATTTTGCTCTCTGAATCTGTATCAACTTCTGAATAACAGCTTTCACATGTCAAAAGGACTTAAGGCACTTTGCAGCAGGACTAGGAAAGGACTGAGAAGTTGAGATTCAGCCAAAGAAGCAGATTGAGAGGACTTTTGAAGTTGGGGAGATTGGTAGCAAGTTGGAGTTACCAAAGATGTGGGAAAATGGGGTATTATTCAATTTCACAAATTTAATAAGTGGAACAGAGCAGAAGCAAAATTATTTTTAAACAAATTAAAATCAGCAACGAACTATATCTTGCAATTTCAGCAATGCTTTGAAAGTGGTGATGGGGAGGAACTGAAGGAGACTGTGTGTGTGTGTGTGTGTGTGTGTGTGTGTGTGTGTGTGTGTGTGTGTGTGTGTGTGTGTGTGTGTGTGGGGGGGGGCAGTGGTGGGGGTGGTGCAGCAGATTTCACAATGTCACTTACTGAATGAGTCCTGAGCGCTGACATGGTTTTGGACACTGCCAGCTCCCACAGTTGATCAATGTACACTCTGTTCACCAGACCCTGGGTGGTGTGCAATATGTGGTCTTCAACTACAAAAAACCTGAAGGCAGAATTGGAACAAGTCAGAATCGGTCACAATATCAGTGAATAAAACACACGCATCCATGGGAAAAGCAAGCCTTGACTGTAAAGATATCGCAGTTATACTTTACTCTGGATCTGTTGCAGTGTTAAGTCTTGCAATATTGTCTAAAAATCGTCATTCCTGGCTTGTCTTTCATTCATTCACATTTACCTGAAGTGACAGCTGTTCAAGATCAGGAGCACAACTGTTTATCTGGTTTTGCCTGAATTAAATTTTACACTTGCACTCAGGAGAGCAGAGAACTATCAATTCTTGGGGAGGGGAGAGAAGGGGGAAAGGTGGGAGAGGAAAGAGGCAGAGAAGGGAAAGAAAGAGGGTGAAGGAGAGGGGATCAGCAGAAAAGAGACAGCAGGGAGGGTAAAAGAGGTGGAAGAGTGGGGAAAAGGAAGTGAAAGAGAAGGTGAAACAGGAGAGAAGGAGATAAAAGGGGAGAGGAGGAGGATGAAAAGGGAGAGGAGATTGAAATGAGAGAGAAGGAAATAAGAGGGTTTGGGGAGAGATGGAAAGAGGAGAGGAAAGAGGAGATAATAAGCAGGAATAGGAAAAGGAGGAAGGAAGAAAGGAAAATGAGGAGGGGAAATGAAGAGAAGGGAGAAAAAGAAGAGGGGCAGAAGAAAAGAACACCTTCTTGGCCAATATTTCCACTGAAATTTGTTTATTAGCAGGCCTCATTAGGTAGCTTCTTCGAACAGTATTCTAACAATGTTCTACCAATTTAGATACACTGCACTACCAACATTCCACCTAAAAGCCAGAATTGAGACCAAGACATGGTCTGAATGACTCAAGTACACACTGTTAACCAGCAGAATTATAGGTGAGCCCTGTAGTGAGAAATCTCCAGCTTAAAGCACCCTGTTCATAACTGAGAGACTTGTAAACAGAGATATGAAGGGAGTGGGCAAGTGAGGCAGAGGGAAGGGGGGAGTGGAAAGTGACCAAGATATGGGGTGGGAACATGAACATGAGGGTGAGAATAGAAAACAGAAATAGTGAAAGACAAAGAAGAAAACTAGACAAAATGGAGGAGGCACAAGGGAAAAAACCCATGTTTGGAGAAGGGTACCAAAACCCGTATCCTGAAAATAAGCCCAGCAGAATCCCTCCACTAACAAAAACATGGCACCAGTAGAACTTTTCCTTTGCATGAAAAACATACACTCACCCTACAATTTGATTAAAATACCTCCTGTAGCCGTCTAACGTTTCATGCTGCAACAAGACAAGCATTTTGAGTTAGGACAATAAAGGACTGCAAAAATAAAGCATTTTTGAAAAAAGGGTCATACACTGGCATGCTCAGTAATTCAGGGCAAAAACAAAAAGGAATACTGTTTCATCAAGGTTAAAATGCTCTTTGGTTAATGGAAATGAAAGGGGAGATTATTCCTACCATGTTGGAAGGAGGCTGCAGGACTAAGCGGGCCTGTTTCTTTCTTTGTTTCCTGTAGTAGTTCTCAAATGTATCTTGGGCACCCTGGAGAAATGAAAAAGAAGAAAAGGGGATGTGTGTTGAAGTCGGGAGCGCGTGAACACATTTTTAAGGACTGACAAAAGCAGATTTGTTGTTGAAAGCCAGACACCTTTAACCAAGGCTCCTGCCTACACAATGGGCTTTCCCTTTTAGACAGGAGTGCCCCAAAACCTCCTTCTACTTGGCCACTGTATCCCAATTGCACTCATTATCTGAAGCACCCAATTACCTGACCTCGGTGAATGGACATTTCCGCTCATTAAACTCTGCCTTTGTGATTTATCAAAAAAGCTAAAAGCGAAATTCTCAGCATTGGGGTAAATTATAGAATCATACAGCACAGAATGAGGCCATTCAGTCCACAAGGCATGTGCTGGTTCTATGAATCAGCAAGCCAATTAATTCTTCTACTCTTCAGCCCACAGCCTTGCCAATGTGTAGCCTTCAATTATTAATGCAACACGTTTTTTTGAAAGTTACTGCTGAACCTGATTCAATCTGTCTTCCAGAATATAAGAAACTTACTGAAGGGAGAAGCTTCTCTCCATCTTTACGTGGCTTACTGCTTAAGAATGACAGATAAAAAGCGACAGCACTAAGAAGACTGATGAAAATAATTCAAGGTATCAGCAATTTTTGCTGCAGAAAGGTCAAAGAAATTGCCCTTGGCAATAGGGGAGATTCTGAGGGGACTTAAGCTAAGTTTTCAATGTTAGGAAGGGAATTGGAAAAAAGCAACTGCAGGAAATATTCAGAATTACAGATAAAACAAATACAAAGTTAGGTAAGGGATGAGAGGGAAAGGCAGGCGCAAGACTGCTAACTAAAAAAGAATGAAATTGCGATTAAGAGGAGAAACCATAATTCAATATAAATGCATTCAAGAGGGAATTACATAGAAGGAGTTGAGGGATGATGCATGATGTATAACAATTGTAAGTGAAGGCAGATTTTGTGGGGTTAATCGATCATTAGACGATAGGTGTCTGGCCAAATGGTCTCTTCTTGTTCCTAAAACCTCTCATTCTAATGAACAGCGAATACAGTAGCATTGATTTCAGTAGCAATACCAGCGACGCCATTCTGTGCCTTTAAAACACTCAACTCCACAAAACAGGGTGCTATTTTCACAAGCAGATTTCCTGTTTCCATTCACTGCAAATGAACAAACTATAACCGGTTTTTTAAAAAAACACACAGAACAAAAGAGGTTTTAAAGTCTAAATGACTCTGGACTGTGGCTGATTTTAATGAGAGGACCTTTCTCTTCCTTACCACCAGCCCCCACACCACCCCCCGCCGACCCTGTACAAAACAACTATTTACAATTATTGTTTCTGTTTAAAGTTTTAAATCACAGTAACCTTAAGTGGCTCAATAATCCCCTGATGTTTTAGGGATGGAGTGCATATTCTTTGCATAATTGGGGCAGCGTCCTTGCATTGTTGCTTGTATTAGGATCTCTCTGGGGGTTAGGGGGAGCAGGGGGTTTATGTGGTGAGGGTAGAGCATTTGCTCAGCTGCATAAATGGTATTTGTGATGAGAGAAAACAGTGTCTCCAACAGCCGGGAAATAGATGTTTTCTGTGGTCCCGGCTCCAACCACTTAATGATAACTTGAATTTAGATAGCACCTATAATTCAGTAAAATCTTTCAAAGCGATTCACAGGTGTGTTAAAATTTGACACAGAGCCACATAAGGAAGTATTAGGATAGATGACCAAAAGCATTTTGAAGCAGGAAAGAAGAACAGAAACAAATGGCAATTCCAGAGATTAGAGCATACGCAGCTGAGGGAATGGCACTAATGGTGGAGTGATTACAATAGGGCAAAAGGCCACAATAGGAGAACCACAAAGATCTTGGAGGGTATGAGACCTGGAGAAGGTTACAGAAATGAGGAAAATCATTTCAATCATTTGCGGAGATACAGCGGTGGTGCAGATGAAAGGATGACAGTCACAGAATCTTAAAGCACAAAGGAGATGACCCATCCCCCATCATACCCGTGAAAGTCCTTTGAAAGAACAATGCAATTAATCTAAACTGTCAATCTTTCCCAATGTCAAAAAAATTTATCCTTTTCAAGTTTCTATCCAATTCTATGAAAATGTCGATTTAATCAATTTCTATCATCCTTTTGGGTTCCACCCTTTCTCATTCTTCGTTGTATAAATTTGGTTCTAATTTAAAACTTTCTAATTTCTATTGTCATAGTTTTGGGCAATTAATATTGATACCTCTGATTATTGACCAATGGAAACAAGTTTTGCCTTATTTACTTCAACTTCAAAACCACTCACTGCAATCCCTTCTGAGTTTTCACAGCTCTAAGGAGAGTAAACTCTGATTTCTCCCGTTTCTCTACAAATAGACAATGTGTTAAAATTAAAAAAAACTTAAATATAAGATTCAGGGAAAGAGATCTTTAGAAGCTCAAAGAGAGATTTCCTTTTCCACACCCCTTATCATTCCTATCCTGAGGGTGGGTTAACAACAACTTTGCAAGTAGCTTTACCCAAGCAACCAACTTTCATTTGTGCACCCGCACAGCCCATGTCAATCCCTTTTCAATGTAACTATCTTTTAGTTTATCTTTCAGCTTCTTACAATTCTGCACTCTGAATTTAAGACCCACTTCAAGGCTTGAACATTGAACTAGCCGAGCATTCTATTCCAGTATTTGGAAGTGCCTCATTATTTAAATAGCCTGTCTTTAAAATGAGATGTTAAACTGAGACATCATCTGCTTGCTCTGATGTTCAAGGATTTCACAGCACCATTCGATGCAGGACGGTGCATTCTGTCCATGAAGAGTTTTGAGAAACCGCACATGCTACACAAATTCTAGATGTTTTTTCCATAAGGATTTGCACTGAGTTTCTGGAAACATCAGTCTTCAAGAAAAGTGAACAACTTCTCACATGAAGTTACATAAGGCATAACCTTTGAAGATTCAAAAGGAAATTAAAATAGGGCATGTTTTTTAAGACAAAATATGTTTTACGACATCTAATAAATGCTGTTTAACAGATACATGAAGTTCAGAGTCTTTTCAATGACCGTTTCCCCAATCACTGCTTTCATGGAGATTTTGTGCAAAATATGAAGGAAACTCGACTACATTTCTCCTGCCAAGGTGTTCACAAGTATTCCAACAAAATTACGGTACACACCTTGAATAATTTTACTGGAAACTTATCTTCAAAAATTCTATCGCATGTTCAGCACAATAAATCCCTTCATTCGTCACAGTAGTGTGGGTGGGTTTTCAGATTACTTGGTATAACTGTGAACAAAAAAAACCACGCAACACCAAGAAGTGAAACAGGAGAGAAAGCAAGGTAAAACAGGAAAAAGATCAATTATACTAGGCACTGGCTAATGAGGAAGTAGTGAGAATACAACAATGTTGAGGTGCTGAGAAGGAATGGTTTAGGCTTGAGAGATCACAGATTTGCTATAGTGCAGGAAGAGGCTTTCTGGATAAGAGATAACAAGGTGCAGAGCTGGATGAACACAGCAGGCCAAGCAGCATCACAGGAGCAGGAAGGCTGACGTTTCAGGCCTAGACCCTTCTTCAGAAATGGGGGAGGGGAAGGGGGTTCTGAAATAAATAGGGAGAGAGGGGGAGGCAGATAGAAGATGGATAGAGGAGAAGATAGGCGGAGAGGAAACAGACAGGTCAAAGAGGCACAGAACATAGAACATTACAGCGCAGTACAGGCCCTTCAGCTCTCGATGTTGCGCCGACCTGTGAAACCAATCTGAAGCCCATCTAACCTAAACTATTCCATTATCATCCATATGTTTATCCAATGACCATTTAAATGCCCTTAAAGTCGGTGAGTCTACTATTTTTGCAGGCAGGGCATTCCACGCCCTTACTACTCTCTGAGTAAAGAACCTACCTCTGACATCTGTCCTATATCTATCACCCCTCAATTTAAAGCTATGTCCCCTCGTGCTAGCCATCACCATCCGAGGAAAAAGGCTCCCACTGTCCACCCTATCTAATCTTCTGATCATCTTGTATGTCTCTATTAAGTCACCTCTTAACCTTCTTCTCTCTAACGAAAACAGCCTCAAGACCCTCAGCCTTTCCTCATAAGACCTTCCCTCCATACCAGGCAACATCCTGGTAAATCTCCTTTGCACCCTTTCCAATGCTTCCACATCCTTCCTATAATGCGGTGACCGGAACTGTACGCAATACTCCAAGTGCGGCCGCACCAGAGTTTTGTACAGCTGCAACATGACCTCATGGCTCCGAAACTCAATCCCTCTACCAATAAAACCTAACACACTGTACGCCTTCTTAACAACGCTATCAACTTGGGTGGCAACTTTCAGTGATCGATGCACATGGACACCGAGATCTCTCTGCTCATCCACACTACCAAGAATCTTACCATTAGCCCAGTACTCTGTATTCCTGTTACTCCTTCCAAAGTGAATCACCTCACACTTTTCTGCATTAAACTCCATTTGCCACCTCTCAGCCCAGCTCTGCAGCTTATCTATGTCCCTCTGTAACCTGCAACATCCTTCCGCACTATCCACAACTCCACCGACTTTGGTGTCATCCGCAAATTTACTAATCCATCCTTCTACGCCCTCATCCAGGTCATTTATAAAAATGACAAACAGCAGTGGCCCCAAAACAGATCCTTGAGGTACACCACTAGTAACTGAACTCCAGGATGAACATTTCCCATCAACCACCACCCTCTGTCTTCTTACAGCTAGCCAATTTCTGATCCAAACCGCTAAATCACCCTCAATCCCATGCCTCCGTATTTTCTGCAATAGCCTACCATGGGGAACCTTATCAAACGCTTTACTGAAATCCAAATACACCACATCAACCGCTTTACCCTCATCCACCTGTTTGGTCATTTTCTCAAAGAACTCAATAAGGTTTGTGAGGCACGACCTACCCTTCACAAAACCGTGTTGACTATCCCTAATCAAATTATTCCTTTCTAGATGATTATAAATCCTATCTCTTATAATCCTTTCCAACACTTTACCCACAACCGAAGTAAGGCTCACTGGTCTATAATTACCAGGGTTGTCTCTACTCCCCTTCTTGAACAAGGGGACAACATTTGCTAGTCTCCAGTCTTCTGGCACTATTCCTGAAGACAATGACGACAAAGGTCAAAGCCAAAGGCTCTGCAATCTCCTCTCTAGCTTCCCAGAGAATCCTAGGATAAATCCCATCCGGCCCAGGGGACTTATCTATT